AAGGTTCAGAAGCTTATCCTATTTAAACTGGTGGTGAGTAAATTAAATCTGAACTCAGAGTAAAAATCTGATTTGTTGACCCAATAAAGTGGGACCGAGAGACAAACGGTCCCAAGTGCCACTTTAGTTCAGACTGAAGGCTAATTTGTTTGACAGAATACTAGGCTTTGTGTCTCCAGCTATACAATGTTTCTAACCTTAAGCCTGGCTCCTCAAGATGTCTGTATCGAAGGAAGGAAAATCTAGCTTTAAAAGACTAAAAATGTGCCGGTGTGTGTTTTGGAGTGTTTAGAGATTGATTTTTTTTTTTTTTTTTTTGCTTGCTTGTAAGAGGGTTGTGGCGTGCACCCAGGATTCATACAGTTAAGCAGGGTAGTCGCCTATTGATGTTGAAACATAGTTTCTTCTGCTGTTTATCTAAGAAAAATAAAGTACTTTTGTCATCCTGTTACAAGACCCAGGTTAGCTTTGTTAAGACTAATAAAAGGAATCTTAATTTTGAGTGTGTATCCTGGGTGAATACTAAGACTTGGTTATAACAGTTTCTATACAGTCCCGTGTCACTGATAGATTTTGTCAGTGTGTATGAAAGGAATATTATATTGGTCTCTCAAAATCTTATCTTAATCCCTTTCTTTCTTACATAGTAAGAGAAGATGCTCTGATGGCTGTTGCCTGATATGTCAGTAGACCACTAGATTTAGTTCTGCCGCTGTACCAGGAGGAAGGTAAAGGGTGTAATTTCCTAAATACTGTCCTTAACATAGAAGACTGGATTGGCCACGGCTATATACGTGCGTATACAGCTTTGAGCTTTTTTGATAGGTGGGTTGTGTGTTTGTGTTTAAGACCATGCCATTTGGGATTTACAAGGAAATGCCCTAAATACATTAATAGGTCTGTAAGGAGAAATGGGGAGGATTTACTGAAAATATTAACAGTACTACTTAATAAAGAGACATGCTGGCCAATGAGACAAGAAGTTGCTTCCCCCAGGTGATAACCAATTTGCGTAATCTCGTTGCTTAGGTTGTCCAGGATATGTTTTTGCTAGCTCGGGAAGCAGAAGAAAGAAAGTTTCAACAATTTGTAAACATTACCACCCTCAAGAATCTCTGTGAACACAAGGGTGAGATAAGACAGGCTGTAGGGCTGGTTACATTGTTTATTTATTCTACTGTCCTGTGGTCCCCTGTGTGCTGAAAAACACTGAGTAGTGTTGAGTCCAGTTCAGAAATGTGAAGGCTTCACTCAGCGTTGGGCAAAGGGGGCCTCTGCAGACAATTATCTGTCATTAAAGAACATTAAAAGAATTGAGACACAAGGTCAGATTTTCTTTGATGGGATGTGCAACTATAGTGATGTTCAAAAGAAGGTCATTCCTGCCCTTTAGAGCAGAGGTGGTATCGGCTGGGTTTCTGATGGATTTTTATCAGTGTTGATGTGAGGAAATGGCTTTCCCAGCTGATAACATCTTTGACTGAGTTTCTTGAACCCTTGACCTTTATCAGTCAAGGTATATATTGAATCCCCTTGTTAAAAATAAATCTCAAAACAAGTTACATAGAAAACTTTCAAAGGAACGTGTTTTATAATATTATTTTACCCAGAATGCTGCTAAATTTGTTACAATTTGGGATGTTTATTGAGATAAGAATAGCAAGTTACTAAGAAATACCTTTATAAAAGCTCCATATCAAGCCTGGCATTCATGTTCCAGGTAACCTTACTGCCCTCAGCTCTCTTAGAAAACAAGTAAATCAGTTAAATTGCTATGTATTGTTGTTGTATGTTGCTTAATAGTACTATTTCACCCTCCAGGTAGCTGCAACTGTACTCACAGGGCTCAGTAAGGAAGCATTTATGATGTCAGTGTCAAACTATGAGTTTGACTTCAACTGTGTACATCGCTGCATAAACAGAAGGTGTTAACAGAGGGCTGGGGCAATATAATTGTTCTCTCACTAAAAATTAAATTATTTTCAGTTGCCAGAATTATTATGTTCCGGTAGGTGGAGGGGACTTTAGGTAGTGGAACTCAGGGCCAAAGTTGCAATTTGGCCAGCCCATCAGAATTCATACAAATGCATTATGTGATTGTGAATAGCTGGAGAAGTGGTCACCCATTTTCTCTGACTCAAAATACTCTAATCACATCCTCTTTTCACCAGATTTTAACTGACAATTCTTTAGGAACTGTCAGTTCTCCATGCTCTATGCCTTAGGAATCACTTATTTAGGGGACCTTGATGTTTGTTGCCTGCAAATAACCATACTTTCAGCTTTGTGAGGCATAGCATCATTAAACTTGGGGCTTTTCTGCAGTCTTGGAGAGGGAGACTTCAACACTATCACCAGTGGACTTCCCTATCCCATTGTGATCAACAAAGGTCATCCAAGGATTCTGAAAGGGAAATCTTGGTGTACTGTCACCTAGCTGTATGGCTACAGTCTGATCATCCTCTAATACAGAGATAAGCTCTAGTTATAGTGCTGTGTCAAGTCTTGCACATGGTAAATATAAAAGTTAAAGCCTTAATAGACATTTATTCTGAATGATAAGGTGTGTTAATTTACATCCAATAAAGGATGTATGTATCTTCATCTTATGTGAGCATGTTCTCATATGTTGAAGTCCTCTTATCAAATCCTTCTTTAAACTGTGCAGTTGCTGGAAATGAGGCTGTAAGATCAGGATTGTTGAAGCTGGCAGTATTAAAGTTTGCGGAAAAGGTGTTGTAGGTCAGTGCAAGGGAAACCCATGTTAGGGAATCCTTATCTGAAAATACTCTCTGGCTTTTTGTTTGCTTTGTAATGTCAAAGCAGGGTCAAGAATGTAATCTGTATAGACAGAGTTTTGAACATTTGGGGATTTTACAAGAAAATGTTCTTTTTGATGTGTAAGTCCCATATTAGGGGGGTAATGCCTTTTGGTAAGCCAACTGATAGAGCTGTGAGATGGGGACAAAGGTGCTTTTTCGTCTTTGTCATCTGATGTTGGTGTAATAAAATTATTTTCTGTCTCTGAACATTGTCATGCTTGTCCCTTGGAACCACCATGGCAGTAGCAATGTCACTGCTTTACGTAGCTTAAGAATTGTATAATCTGCATATTATTCTTTCTGTGGAAAAAAGGAAACTTGCCAGACCAAGGTTAGATCTTCCTGTTTTCACAAACTGAAGATAGTAACAAACACTTATCTCACAGAATCCCCAGAGGAATTTTAGTGGTTGTACATTTGGGCAGGGCAGAATGTAATGTGTATGTGATGTTGAGGAGGAGGCAATATGCCATGTCTTTTTGTCGTGTTGTTCCTGTAAGAGAGACCATGCTGGGGGCAGCAACTGCAGTTCTTGGTGATACTTGAGTTGTTCTTTCAAACTCAATTCAACAACTGCTCAGGTTAGAAATGTATTTTTTCTTCCTTTTCTGTGAAAAAACTAGGTTTGTGCAAGCCTTCTGTCCATTCAGTCTGTCCTGGTTTCGGCTGGGATAGAGTTAATTTTCTTCATAGTAGCTAGCATAGTGCTGTGTTTTGGATTTAGTACCAGAAGAATGTTGATAACACACTGATGTTTTCAGCTGTTGCCAAGTAGTGCTCAGACTACTCAAGGACTTTTTGAGCTTCTCCTGCTCGGCCAGGTGCATAACAAGTACAGCACAGCTAGGACAGCTAACCCAAACTGACCAAAGAGCTATTCCATACCATAGAACGTCATGCTCAAGGGGAGTTGGTTGGTCGTGGGGAGAGTGATCGCGGCTCAGGGACTGCTCGCGGCTCGGGGCGGGCTGGGCATCGGTCAGCGGGTGGTCTGTTTTTGTCTCAGCCCTCGGCTCTAACCTTTTATTTTCTTCCCAATTCTCTCCCCCATCCCACAGAGGGGGAGTGAGCGAGCGGCTGCGTGGTGCTGAGTTGCCAGCCGGGTTAAACCACAACACAGTCATCCTTCCCAAAAGCATTTAGATACTTGGGTATGTTTGAAGCACATGTGGCCAAAGGTGAGAGTAGCAAAGATGATTAAGTGAAAATCAGTGGCCGGTTAAGGCAAGAAAGGCAAATACAGTACCTTCACTCAAGGACAAGACTGCAGCATTGACTCTAGATCTCTGTATTGTGGTTGGGCTGCTGCATATCAAGTCAGCAGATGTACACTGGTTGACTTAACAAGTTAGCAGCATGACCATCAGCATGCACCATTTCTTTCCCAAGTTGTGAGACACAGGGAAGCATAAGGGGAAGAGGAGAAAATAGCGGGCAAGTCAGTAGTTGAAGGAGGAGTGAGGGAGCTGGAGTTAGCTTGCTGGGTGGATGAAGGACAATATGAAGGTCTACAGTTTCGTTACATCAACATTAACTGTTGACACAACAATTCTGAAGGCCAGTAGGTTTTGGTCTGCAGAGACTAAGTGTGATCTGACTCCATAATGACTTAAACCCATCGCATGTGTGTATATATATGTGTTTTAGCAATTTTTAATTTATTCTGTAAGTGAAAAAGGGTAGAGTTTTACTATTTGTTTACTTGAAATATTCTATGGTAAAGAGAAGATGGGTACATCGTCAGAAATTCCTTTTTGAAAGATATGATGCAAAGAGTTATTTTCTTCTTTATCTTCACCAAGGATCAGAGGGGAGGGGGAAATCCCCCAAATGAATGCTGTTATTGAGGGAAACATTTCTGATATGATATGGTACAAGAAAATATTTAGAAAAGGAAAGAATTGTCTCAAGAAAATGAGAGCTAGAATGCACAATGTCTTGTGTTACTTAAAGCAATGAGATTTTAAGGTTTACCTTATGTGCCATGTACATTGATTAAATACCAAATATATGGTGGCCATTTCTAACCATCATTTACTGTATTGATTTGTCAGCAGTGGAACTGTAATAAAAAAAGCTATTGATTTACTGTCCTTATTTGCTTATGGGCTTTTTATTAATTTTACACATTGTTCCCTATTTCTAGATTATAATTTCTATGTGTTTTTTCCCTTTAAGACAAGCCTGGTCCTCTCTGAAGTTAGAAAAGAGGAACAAATTGAGGAACAAAGGAAGGAAACCATCAGCTGTGTCTTGCTAGTTCTTACTGAGCGACAAAGGCTACGTAAAGAATGGACAGCAAGGTAAGAAATTTGAGAAAAAATAGTAAGATAATAAAATTAGAAACAAGTATATCAAATATACTCCTATAAATCCACTTGTGGCGGGAGAGGGGGAAGTTGAAATTTAAAAAAAAATCAAAATTTTTCCTGTTCAAATAGTATTTTTCCTTGAATGGAATAGTCAATGTTTCTGCTTCTGATTTCAGTTACTTTGAGGGGTAAAATGCTCCCTTACTGTGCTTGTACAGTGCAATGTATTGATAATAACTTGATAGGCAGCATACATATTTGAGGATTGGTATCACCTTAAGTGCCCTAAGGTTTTTCTTATACTGCTAACAATACGAGCAATACTCCTTGCTGGCATGCCATGCTAATAGATACCCTTCTTGTCTGCTTTCTTCACGATCCTCACATTTTCTCATGTTGTCCTACTGGTGTTAGCTGGGTTGTGTTGGGTGAGATTGGCATAAATTTACATATTGCTAGGGTTTGCATCATATGACTTGTTATACTTGAGTTCCTAAATGGAACATATCGCCATGGCAATAAATCAGGTGATGTTGTTAACAATTTTAGAAAGTTGTTTATGTTTTTATTTGAAAAAGATTGTTCCTGGAGTGTAGTCAGATGAATGCATTTCAGAAACTATAGATACATCATACTTCCAGTTCTTTCAGAAATATGTGAATTCAAAAAAGAGAATTTGCACTGTAAGCTGCCTTGTGTCCTTCTCTTTAGCTGGTAAATGAGTTGATGTCACCTTTTTTTCCACATCTGTCTCTAAAAGCTATAGATTTATACTCATTTAATAATATCTTATTTTTTTCTTATTTGTGATATTTACATAAAATATCTAACAGTTTGTGAAATTTTTCTACCAAAGGTGCAGCTTTCCTTTAAAACCAGGAGATGTCATGTGCTTACAATTAAATAGTTTTTAGTCAAAAGTATTTTTTAATGAGATTTTTGTTAATCAAAATTAGCACTTAATTGACATGATTTTTTACCTGCATTAAATGTTCCAGTTAAGGGAGCTCTCCTGTGTTTTGTTAGTGTATAATTTTGGGAAGTTCCTGAAAATCTTTGAGATTGACTTTAAAAAGTTAATTTTAGATATTGGATCTGACAATTGAGTGGCTTTGCTGTTCCCAATAATTACAGTGAGTGGACCTGAAACATTTTAGAAGCTTTAGATAAAAATTAAATATTATTACATAGTAGCAATTATTATTACAAATTAGAGGCTGTGTTCTTATGAGTATGGAAGGTTTATTTGTATACTAATCAGTTAAGATGTCAGAGTGGAAAAGAGCTGATTAAGGTGGGTCTACAATATTGTTTGTATTATCGTGTGGGTTTTGTTTCTTCCTTTTTTAAGAATTTATGGGATTTGGGGGGGGCGGGGGGTGCCTTCCATCACCATGCTTACTAAAACATGCAAGCGGTTTGGCTGCATTGGAAACAGAGGAAATTGCTTAAGGCTTTTCTGTGGGACACATACATCTTTGCTGTGAACCAGAATAGAAAGCTTCCTAGAGATAGGAGGCAGCTAAATGACTCAAATGAGTGGAATATCTTTCTAGTGTTTGTTTAGTCTAACAATGATTTTCTAATATATGAAGTCATCAGGAATCCTGACAACCGGGACTCGTTTAAAAGTAGCGTGGTTACGGTGTTTCTGGCCTCTCCTTGCAGTGCAGTCAGAGGCTGGAGCCAGCGTTGCCATTGTAGACCTAGTCTAGGCTCCGACACAGAAAGTCTGAAGTTCTTGGCGGGGGGGTGAGAGGCACAAGTAGACAAAGTGCAGGCCTCCTTAAAACTAAACACCTGAAAGAAAATTTCAAGAGCATTGTGCCTTGAAAGTTCTGAAAGGAAGTGTCCTTTGAGTATTAAATATCCATAATCCTTTTTCTTTCCATTTGATGTTTCCCATCCCAGTGACCTATCTGAGAGTCTCATCCATATGATCTGCCTAAACAGACTGTTACCATACACCTCACTTTACTTCATCAAAGCTTCAGCTAGATGTCTGGAATGAAGCGCTGGCTGTGGTAGCCATCAAGCATACGGTGGTGAAAGTTATAAAACGTCCGCTGTGGTACTAGCAGGGCTGCCCATGTTTTAGAGATCAGTCTATTGTGTACTTTGGAATTACATGAGAAAAATGTGCTTGGACAGGAAATAATTAGCACTTGTCAAAGGGCAGGCAATAGGTTACAGTATTTTACTTTCAACAGGCTATCAGGGGATCAGCTAGATTAGATAATAGAATTTTTTTCCTCTGGAAGCTAAATACAGATGACTCTAATTACCTTACATTGTGCATTAGAGAGCACATTATGAACAGTACAACTTCAAGAAATTTAGGTCAATGAAGGGTGGGCAGCTAGCAAAAATTTTACTTTGCACTTGGTCTTTGTAGAGTTATGTAGGCATTCTGTTCCTTCATGGGTTTTATTTGTGTCATTAACACCTTAAATAAAAACAACACATGCTGGGAACTGTTAATAGAAACTGATTCAACTTTTAGAAATTGAGTCTTTCTCAGAGAAAGGCAGCTGAACTGGTTTGATATGTGTATGCATTTACTTGGTTAAAGCAAGGCCTTGCATTGCTTGCTCGTAGTTGTACCAGTGTTTCTGCATATTAACCAACTGAAATGACTCTTTAAGTTTTTGTTTCAGCTCCATAGTCCAAAACACATGGCAGTGCCTTAAGAGTGGTGGCTCACTGTTTCATATGCTTTTGATCCAAAGATGTCATTGGTATCTTAAGTATCCCAGCAAGTCTCCTAGGTATTCCAGTTATTCTGTGTTGAGTGGTAGTGATCCAAAATACTTCAGGTAGAACTCAATGAATGTCCTCTAAGTGTTAACAGAAATGGTCCAGAGTTTCTAAAGCCCCAGATTTGTTTATACTGCATGATAGTGCCTGATGGACAGGTTGTTATAGCTGTTAAAGAGCTGCTCTAGCCCTTTGAACTGACCCCTTCTTGACCTCTGCTTATAGAAGGTCACTGTTCAGCTTATAAAGTAAGGGGAACCTTAGATTCTACTGTAACAGATAGAGGGTAAAGGGAACAGCTGTGAGTTTTGGACTAACCATGCAAACCTGTGTAGACTTTTTAGGGTCACTGTATGATAATGAAAATTGTTACCAAATTATATGGAAATTTAACAGCAATAGTGGGAAAGAGAGGGTGGAGTCTAATGCATTGGGTTTGATAAATGAAGTGTGAAGTTACCCATCTGGCTCTAGACAGCCCTCTTTTTCTCTACGAAAGGGAAACATTTAAAAATAACCATGGTACATCTAGAATCAATGACCCATACAGAGAGCTGGAATAGATCAAGATTTAATGGTGGCTGTGGAAGAAATTATCATTTGAAAAGTGAGACAAAGGATGAAAAAGTACAGTTCAATATCTGCACCTGATTCATTTTCAAAAAAGGCCTTAATATTTTTAGCCCGTTGATGATGCTATTGACATTTTTTATTTTGCTTTTTAACTGGAACCAGAAAAGTTGTTATATCATAAAGAAACAGGCCAAAAAAAAGAAAAAGTACTTGATATTCAAGAGAGAATGTTGCACTTTTCCTGATCAGTAAATGCCCAAGAGAACTGGACAGTGCAGTTCAATCAAAATTGTATCTCTTATTCCTCCTAATAGAACTTGTATCATGTTATAATACTGTTGTCTTTAGGGCTTGCATAACATACTCCACTTAGTTGCTAGTAGTTTTTTGCCGTATTTTTCATATAGATGCATTTACTACCAAACTAATTTGTCATCAAGAAATCAACAATAGATTAATTTAAAGGATAATGTTTAACTACATTGAAATTATTAACTGCTAGGAAAAAAACATTGTTAGTTAAATCATTACTAAAATAAGTCTTTTTCATGCACAAATTTTAATAGTCAAAATGGTTTTATTATGACACGGGCTCTGATGTCCATTTTGCTATTTCCCTGAGTGAAATTGCACCATTTCCCTTAGGGGAATTTCAGCCAGGTAGTGGAAAATGTAAAGTTTTGGAGAAAGACATAATGAAGTGAAAAGTTTGATAGGAAAAATAAAATTATTTGTGATGGTTGTATTTTCATAGTTGTGCTACTTAGTCAAATTCTGAAATCTTAAGAGTACTCTCTAAGCCATCATGTAATGACAAATTGACATAGTGAAAACAGAATAAACATTCAATAAATAATTTGGACCAAAGTAAACACAAAATTCTTCTGGTTCATGAGATAAACAGCAGAAAAGTGTTAATTGATTATATCTTGTAAGAATCAATAGTTTAAAACCTGGGCTCATTGCAATAACACAATGAAAAAAATCTATTTTATGAGGTCATTCTAAAGCCCATAACATTTTGTAGATCAGATCACTGTGTATTTTTAGAATTGTTATAGTCTTCCATCTTTGCACAACACTTCAAAACTCATGGCAAATCGTATAAGTTTCAGGTTTCAAGTCAAACTTGAACTATAATTCCATAGCCTTTTTTGCCTTTGTCAACCCCCTTAGATCTCACAATTTTGACATAACAGTGTGAAGATAAGTATTTTTTTCTAGCTACATACTACTGAGATAGTTTTACCACTCAGCATTGAAATCTGGATTATTGTGTGGATATTTATGTAGGAATTTAAAGTGCAAGTATGTAATGTGACAATTGAGTCCTAATCTACGATAACACTGTTAGGTTGTATAATAAGAAGAACAATGAAGAATATGAGAGTGGAATCCTAAAATAGTATGCATGTTAAATGAGATACAAACGGGAAGAGAATATACTATATTATTTTATTTTCTCTTTTGAAGAAAAAAAAATTAATTTTTTTTATGACTTACCTCTTTATACCTTGGAGTTTTAGATCATATCTAAGAAGGTAATTGAGGTAGATTTTACTCTTTCTAGCTCCAGCAGGAGAAAGTGGTGTTCACATAAAGAAGGAAGATATTTCCTTCTGTAAGAGAAGAAAAGTCCATGGGTTAAGAAGTTAGCATGG